TTAGAAATACTGCTGATATTTCTAATGTAGAGAGATTGCTTCCTTCAGGAGAGAAACAGATGTTCACCACGGAGTGTTTCGGGTTATTTCACTGTGGGGTCCGGATATGGGCAGTTCCATCCAGAATCCTAATTAAAATATTGCAAAGGTTGGCATCCTGCTAGATGGGACCTTTCACCTCTCTCCTCTCCTGGAACCACAGTGAAGATGAACTTAGAAGAAATCACTCCTACTTTCCCGCTGATTTGAGCGTAAAGTTTGTAGTTAGCCCCCAAACTGCTCAATGCCAAGGATAACACACTATGGCAAGGACCACTTCAAAATTGCTCCTTTTAAAGATTCTTTCTGCAAGCATTTGCTTCTGGATACCAAGCTAGATGAAATTTTATCTGATCAGATATGGCTATTTCGTTAATCTTTCAACTCACCTAGGTTTGTAGCCTACATAGCTAAGAGTGCCTCCAAGTCATGAACAGGAATGATATTGTGCTAGGGACTGCATAATCAGAGTTAAAAACTGTTCCTAGCCCCCAAATAGGTAGGAAAAGTATATGGGGAATAATAGAGCAGATGCAGCAATGCTAAAAGGTTAACTGGAAACTGTTGGGTAGGATGGTCTCTGAGATATGCCTTAGAGGTGTGATGAAACCCTTGTGCCTTGCAGATCAACATCTGACCTGAAGCCTCGGTTCCCAGTTCTAGTTTGTGGGTCAGCACCCTTTCTTTTAGCTGCCTACCAGGGTTAAACCATGATAAAATTTCGTATTGCATACTTTGTGCAGTCACATAGTGCAGGTCCAGTTTCACACTTACATATGGACAGGCGGAGCAGGTGATGTGTGGCCCAGCAAGGTTCTGGCTGTCACCTGTTTTTTTGCAGTAGGCGAGATAGCTTGAAGTTCCTGCTAGACTAGCACCACTGTTACCTGTTGCAATACTAGACAGGATTGGAGGGGACTTAGGCTACCTTTTGCAGCATGGACAGCAGCAGACACATGGGTTATCTGCAAGTGGCGACATGAACTTGCAGAACCAGATAAGGTTGTATACTGGGCTCTTTAAAATATGCATAAACAAGTAGGCTATGCATATGGGATAGTTGTAGGTGTCATCGTGGCTCGGGGTTTTGTTTGGATTTATATTAGGAGAGGATTAGACGGGCAGAAAGAGAGAGGAGGAAGTAAGGAGCAGCAGTAAAGCCGATGCATTAGGAGGAATTTGCACTGTGAAAAGTGCAGGAAACACTGATGGCACCATCAAAGTTCACTGACGCCTGCTTAGATAGCTCCTGTAGTAGCTTCATCAGATCTTAGTCTGATTATCTCCCCTTTGCGGTCTCTGTCCCAAAGTCCACATGGCTTTGAAAGTTAGGAGGAGGAAAACTAATGCTAGCCAAGGACTTGGTTTTGCATGTTTCTGCTTCTGTATTAATGCAGCTGTGGCAATAAGGTTTTATTGGGGTTTTTTTCAGTGTTTTGTTTAGGCTTTCCTATCAAAGTTAGAAGACCAAAAAGCAACAATGCTTACTGATCTTACTTGTTTGCAGCTGACATTTTTTCTATTTTTTCTGAGTTTTGTGAGATCCTGAAATTAATACTGCTCTTCTGTGCAATTTGAATGTTGAGTACCTTTTCTCTTACATGATTTCACCTTTTGGTTAATGAAAAGATCTATTCAGTGACAGTAAGAACTACTGAGATTTCTTTTGCATTCACCTTCAATATTCACTAACTTTTCTTTAGGTTAATGATATGACATAATTTTCTTAGTATCAGGAATGATACAATCCAGCGCTTTAAATTGTGGGGTTTTCAGGTGTTGCTATACTGACTGGAAGGGAGCTGACACATTAGTTTTGAACAGATTTGCTGGTATCTATCTATGTATAACTTCACACTTATATAGTCTTCTGATATATGGGTGAATAGATCAAAAATGGTGGCTCTTGTCTATAATTTTAATGAAAAAATCATGTATATAAATCCACTTAAGCTTATTTAGTGAACAGTAGCAGTTATTAAATAACTTCTAATTTTGAGACTAATCTATGCCTGTTGGGCATTTTAATGACGTGGATGGTAACCATCTCTATTGCATGCTGTCAGTCCTGGCTCCCGCTTCAGTTACAAGTCAGTTCAGGATGGAAAAGCTGAGAGCCGGCAGCATGCTAAACACCGTTCAACAGGCTCACACTTTGCAATGTAGACCTAGAGAAGATCACATGCTTCGCTTCTGCAGATCTCTCCGCACCGGTCAATGATGACTGCATACCTCTGTCTTCTTGAGGGGCAGTTCTTCATCTTTGTTGTAGTGCAGGTCTCCAGCATTGCCCCGAACATTGTCACCAGTTTTTGAAGTGGCAGTATAATCAGTCCCTTTGTCCTGAACTGCCCTGTGTTCCTTCCGTGTCTGTGCAGAAGCATTTCTTTGGAAATAGCATGGTAGATCGTAGAAGAGGAACAGAGGCAGAGGCTTCTTTTTCTGAAGTCCCAGTACAAGGCCCAGTAGCTTTGTCCTGCTCCATCCTCAGTTGCCTCAGGAAGGTCCAAGGACTCCATGTATTATTCTCCAGCATAACTGGCTCTGGCTTAAGGCCTAACTCTGCTGAGCTGTTGTCAAAGCCACTGAATGTGGAGCCTACCTGAGGGCTACTGTTACTCAGAACAAGTCCTGAGGGAAAACCGTGAGGTAAAGCCAGACATCCAAATGGAAGGATGCTAAGCCAGTATACAGAGAACAGTATTCCACTCCATTCCATTTCCACAAGAAAATGTCATAAACACGATCTTCTTCAAAATCAATCTGCAGATTTGAGTCTTGGACAGTGAGTGTTACTTGAGGACTTGTGGATTCTTTTTTGTTTCTGTAAAGAACAATAAATTATAAATGTTGTGTGAAGAAAGAAGGAAACACATCCTGGCTTTCCGAGTTGTTTGGTGTCTAAAAACAAGGTCAGAATGGAGTTAATAAATTTCCCATTTTATTTTGAAAAAAATGTATTTTGCTTTTAAAAGTGAAATAAATTTGGTTATTTATTTGAAGTCTTGTACCTGAAGATGTACAATGAATCACCCACTTGGAATTAAATTCACATGTACATCTATGTTCAGCTAAGTTCTTTTCTTACAAAACTGGAGATCTCCATTTATAGGTTCGAGACATCAACATTAAGTACTGACAATGTGAATCTGAGTGAACATCTTGCTTATTCTCCACAACAAGCTAATTACTGCTTAAAAACTGATGAAATTCTGAGGACCATAGAAGTTTGCTGAAGTGGTCTCTGGAGGTTTTCCTTTTTCCTTTCTTGCTCTTTTTGTTCTTTTTGCAGCTAACTGAAAACTCTGTAGGTTTCTTTCTGTTTTCCTTCTAGCTTACTGAAACTTTTTTTCCTTAATGTTAGTTTGTTAAAGACTCCACTGCTTTAATATATAACTTTCATTGTGACTTTCATTCCTGCAGTTGTGGCTAATTGAACAATTTATAATGTGTATGCCTAATTGCTTCTGCAAGAGGTTAACTGTGAAAGGCATAAAAAATGAATACACAAAATGTTGCCTAGGTTACATTTTACTGAGTAAAGCCTCAGAGATTTTGTGTACTTTGCTGTTTATGGGCAAGGAAACTCCTGAATATGTTTTAATATGAAACTGCCTTTGATATTGAATCTTAGATGTCAACTACAGTGTAATATGCCATAGTTTAAAAAACTTCCATGAAACATAAGCACAGAAAATACATTTGTGGTTTGGGGTCCAACTTGCAGTAAAAGATGTAAGACTGCAGTTAAATTTCTTTTCCTGCTTATCTTTCCAAAAATATAGAGCAGCAATTTGGATTTTTTGGATTGTCTTTAATAAAAATAGAGCAAAACTAATACTAGCCTCTAAGAATACCTCCAATGAGTTTCTCACAGAATAAATACAAGTTTAATCTGCATTTGATATTTATAATAATACACAGGCTTTAGAACAGCTTTTATGCCAAAAAAATAGTAAAGTACTGGTCATATGGAAGGGTGTTTTTAGTTGTTCCTTGGACTCTGCACCGAGTGAAATTGAAAGCAGCACAGTGTACGATCAAATCTAACAGAAACTTAGAAAAATGTAAACTTCTCAGGCCTATCTTCAGTTATCAATTTTTTTTTAAACTTTGGGGTTTTAATGTAATAATTTTATTATTATTAAAATAACGTAATCATTATTTCATCATACAGATTGTATTTATGATAGAGCTAAAGCAGAATGAGAAGAGAAAGAAGCGATAGTGTGAATATAGGAAGAAACTTTCTTGTTTGTTTTTAAAATCCTTTCTTTATAAGTAAACATTGCTGACTGAAAAAAAAAGTTGTCTTTATAAGATGTGTGGGGAAATGCTGCAGTTGGCAAATCTTTGTTTTCAGGCATCTGGGGTGTAAATGTGTTTTCTGTATACCTTCCCACTTTCTTGTCACCCCAGTGGTAAAAAACCAAATAGCTTATTTGAACAGTCTCTGCTGACTAGTACAATACTGCTCTTACAAAGGAACATTTCTTGGTTTTAGCTTCTTCTCCTCTGTGTTTAAAGTACTGTCGTCCCCTATTTCTTTACCACTTCTGAAATTTACCTCTTTCCCCTTTCTAAATGATACTCACTTTCCTTCTGTAATCTGCTTGATTATCGGCCCTGTACAGTTTTGGTCTGGTTCTGGTTTTTGCTGTTATTTTCTTCCATACTGGAGGGAGACCTGATGTTAATGATGCAGGCAAATATTCTTCATCTTGCTAAAACTGAATGCTGACCCAAGGAGGTGTCTGTATTAGTTATGATGGACAGCATTGTATTCTACTGATCTTGCAGAACTTCAGTAGTCTAAATGGTCATATTTGAAAGTCTATATAGGCATCTTTTCTTTTATTGCACATAAATGTTCTATGAGCTTTCAGTTTACCGAAGTTATTCATACTGTATTCAAACTTTTGCTGCCTCCATTAATTTTAATGTGTGTTTTTTCCGCACAGGTTTTAACAATTCTGAACGCATGTGCGACAAAGAGTTCATAATACGCAGAGCAGCCACAAATCGCGTCCTAAATGTTTTGCGCCACTGGGTCTCCAAGCATTCTCAGGTATTCTCCTGTTGCACCCTTCTCCTCTCCATCTGTAACGCATCTGCGTTCTCCCTACAAAATATTTTTAGGCAGTGCTGCTGTATAGTGTAGCGGAGGTCAAACAGCCTGAAAAGTCAGTGCTAGAAAGATAACATGGAAAATTAGCTTGTAAAAACACACTGTTAAGCAAGTGAAGAATCCTTCATCTAGCCTTGCAAAGCTCTCCTGAAAATATCCAGTTACAGCATTATTCCTGATAATATTGTGTGTGAGTGCTTTACTGTTGTAATATATGTTGAAATACATAATGAACAGGTTGGATTAATCTTTCAGATTGTCAGCGTTCATGCTACAGGCAGCTTGGTTCAGTTAATTGGACTGAATGTGTTAAAATACTTGTGTTTGCATACAGATGTTTATTTATTTGTTGTGAAACGTATGCGGAAAGAGGCACCAGTCCTTCATGTTGGTCCTTCTACAACCACGACAGGACTGTGGGTCTGATACATAATCATAAAACTGTGTTGGCAGAGGGAGGGGAGAAAAAAAAATCTGAGTAGCTAGTAGAATTTCATGAATAGCCATGTCCTTTAAGCTGCCAGGTGAGGCAAGTGTTGGA